GGTGGGCACCAGCCACTTCCCTCAAGGTACATGTGATGAAAATCAAAGGAGAGTATCACTTACCCACATCAGATGCAAAACTCTACAGACTGCAGGTTCACACTCCATCATAAGCCAGCAATAGAATTATAGAGTTACATTGGCTAGGCTCTAGACCTCATGGTTTCACCCGCGGGTACCCAGCCTGGCCTGCCTGGCCCAACCGCGTTGCCCAGAAAAGAACTAAAACTTGCCACCCATCTAATCAGTGCACATCAGGCAAACCAACAGGAGAACAAAACAAGAAAAAAAAAACAATTGATGCAAAAGCCCCTTCTCATGCGAAATCCACCCTAGGCATGCCCTTCATATTTTTTTGGTTTCTCATGGGAAAACCACTTTGAGCCCTCCAACGTCCCACCACCTTCACATACACAAACTAACCACAAAGAAAATGCCAAAAATTTCCTACCTTAAAGCACCAGTACATGGGCACCTGGGCCGCGGGCCTGACACCTCAATTTTTCTGGAAGCGCGAAATGAAAACGCGACCACCGATCCAATGTCTCACCCGATCCAATTTATCAACGGCGGGCCCAGCGTTTGACGTTTCAGCCTCGTTTTCTTGTGGCGACAAGTTCCGGACTGCAAGGCTGGGGCCGTGTACTTGTGGTTAGTCTGTGTATGTGAAGGTCGTGGGATGCCATTCACCTACCGGTAGTTCGACGCCCATCACGATAAAACGCAGTACCGGTAGCTAGCAATTTTTTCTTGTCGGGGGGAGTGGTGGTTTAAGGCTTGGAAACATTACTCACTGCCCCGGATTTCTTCATTGGACTCTTGCCTATGTTACTGCAGCTCTGATGACTAAATTTAGTAAATTGTCAGTTGGTGGTTACCCACCTCTATCGCGGGCTAGCTAGGGCTGCAACAGCCCCCTTTTGTCAGTTGCACAGATAAGTTCCTCTGCAGTGCCAGCTGTGCAGGCTATCTAACTGGCGTACACTTCCCTCCGTAGTGTGTGCACGCAATCACCTACGCTATCTAACTGGCGAAGCCATCTATATCATTCGATACAAGAAATCTAAGGAGCAGGGTCCCCTGGACTATATCTATATCTAGGTCCTCATAAGGAAATCTGACAGTTAGAAATTTGATTGCAAACAGAAGTCAACAGTAGATATTGTGTGCAGGATTTCAAAACTAAACACAGACACAGCTCAGTGGGGCACACCCGTTACAGTGGGGCTCCACTAGACCCTGTCTAGGACTTCATGACAAATTTCTAATGGTGGATATCAGAGTGCAAAGGTAAAGTCTGAATAACGGGTGATTGATTTTGAGGACTAGCTGCAGAGCCCTTCTGGTACTGCATACTTAAAAAAAAAAACATGAAAGAAGCAAGAACAAAACGACCAGGTTCACACAAGCTTCGCACGAACATACCAGGAGTGGGGCCTACATTCACCCAGTGGTTATAATATCCGTTGGTTTGCACATAATTAACCTGATGAGCTATCTCACTTGCACATTGCTTTATTTCACTGCATCTCAGTTTCACTGTCCGTCGATACCAGGGCCCAGATATTATTTCGGGGCCCGGATGCAAGAGGCAGCTGTTCACGGCAATGATCAGACCTGGCATTTCATCAATCAGGAGATTCAGTACGTGTCACACGATCTGTTAATCTGATGATTCTGATCCGATTTCCCACAAACACTTCGTTTAACGCCCCTGATAACCTGAGCTAATTTCCCAAAAAGACCTTGTTGATGTCCCCGCAAGTGTTCTCAGACGTTTTCTCGGCCGACGCAGGGTAACGGCCCTGGTATCTCAAAAGATTTGTACAATTTGATATGGGACGCTGGGCCCGGTTCCCAGCACGCGTTGCTCCCCACGAATAGATTGGAGATTTTGTTTCCCAAAAAAAAAAAAAAAAAAAAAAAAGACAAAAAGATGTCCCTGCTAACCTGAATTGATTTGCATACTGTAAAAACAGAAACCTGTTCCCATAGTCCTCAGCTGGGACTCTGCTCTACCGGAATTGTTCCAATTCATTGCCTGGTGATTCACTATTCTTCCAGGCACCCATACAACCGTACGGCGCTCGCGTCAGGAGGGGCATATTACAGCCATTGTTGTCATGAGTCCGTCTGATTCCATCCCGTGGCCAGACTTGATGATGACAGCCCCGGGGTGGTCATGCCCTTGGTAAATGGAGCAGGTTCATGCATCTTCACGAGTGTATGCAGTGAGTGCATGTAATGCCATGCACTGGCACAATGTCATGCACTAGCACACAGCGTTATGGTCAGGCCGCCAAGATACGGTCGATTTCACTGTCTTTATCAGCTTATGTCTGTCTGTCTACACTGTCCATTGCTGTCAATCTTGCCCAATGTCTGCTTTTTGTGGTGACCGGCCAATTTCGGCTGCCAGATTTGATGTCAGGATGAAGAAGAACTCCGAAAGGGCATAGAAAGACAATCGTTTCGGCCATAACCTGGTGTATGTTCCCCAGCAGGATCTATGAAACCTCAGGCTGGTGATTGCTTTCACGCTGTTTGTCTAGACATGTGCATCACAGCTCGACGGATTCATACCTTGAAGTCTCGTCCAGTCATAGATTGAGGGTTCAAATTCCCGAAAATCTCCTTGGATTGATGCATCACTGCCATGATAAGATGTATCCAAAAAACTAGCAAAACCTACCTGCGGGCCACAGTCTGTTCTCGAACCTGCGAGTCACTGGTTGACCTTCTGGGCTGGTTGACCACTGGTTGACCATAGGTTGACCATAGGTTGACCACTGGTCAAGGTTGACCATAGGTTGACCACTGGTTGACCACTGGTTGACCAGTGGTTGACCACTGGTTGACGAAACTTTAATTGGAGGAATTAAAGAGGAGCAGGCTCTCAAGCAGTGGCTGCCCCAGTGTTCCATTCGCCGTGTTTATCCTCAACCTGCGGGATGATGGATATCGGCCATCCACTCATTCAAACACTCGAATGCTCCCTCTCTCCAGCAAAAGTCTAAGTATGTGTCTTCGCGACACCTCGTCACACAGGGGAGTTGGGCTTCTGTACCCTTCTTCCTGCTCATAGTAGCAACATGTATCATCCCTCTTTCTCCACACTCGAATAGCACCACCATGGCGCCTTCGACCAATCTCAGAGGAAGTCTGTGAGCCGTGAACTGATACTCCGTAAAGGTCAACAGAGTCACATATCTGCAATAGAAGGTAAGAAAGATATCGGGAGGAAAATTCTGTGTAAGATGGGCATAGGTAGGAGATCCATAATATGATATCACATACCTATCAACTAAAAAGATCTGACTTTGCAAAACAAATGAAGAAAAGAGCAGACAGTATGATGCACACTGAAGCAAACTCAAACCAAGCTTTTAGACTTTTCCTGTGCAGTTCTTTGAACTTCTTTCCTTCTTTGATATCTGCAATAGCATGAAGGATGATGCAGGGAAAACCCCTATTTCTTTGAACTTCATACCACTGTAGGGTGAACCAAAAGTCATGCCACAGTCCAATATACTCTTAAGCAAACAACCCCTATGATGTCTTCCGAACCCAGTAATTTGCAACTTTTTCTTTTTCTTTTCTTTTTCTTTCTTTTCTTTTTCTTTCTTTTCTTTTTCTTTCTTTTCTTTCTTTTCTTTCTTTTCTTTCTGTCTTTCTTGGGATAATTTGCAAAATAGCCCCAAAAGTCGCGATATATGGCAAAATGCCCCTGCATGATGAGGGTAGAGCGGAATGCCCTTTTGGGCCGAAATCTTCGTGTTGTGCGGCTTGTGCCCCTGTCAGGTGGGTGTGCAACTTTGCAATCTGGACCTCCCCGTTTGGGCCCTGGCCTTTTGCAATAGCGCCTAGGAAAAGCTGGCAAGTACTGGGTCATTTTGCAAAGTTGGACGGTACCTGGTAGGGGTATACTCCAGAGATGGGGGTCCAACTGACGCTAGGGGTATTTCACAAAATCTATTTTTCGTCAGAGGGGTATTCCGCTCTACCCACATCTTTTAGGGGCATTTTGGCATATATCTCAACTTATGGGGGCATTTTGCAAATTATCCCTTCTTTCTTTCTTTCTTTCTTTCAGTTGTTTTTGCTCCATCCCACTGGTGGGGAGCATCACTGCTGAGAATTGGGACCAGCATCCCTTGAGTAACAACATAATAGTACTCTTTATACTCACGTTTCCTCATGTTACGGGCCGGGGAACCCTTACAGCATTGATTGCCTCCATGGAAGGATCAACTTTCAGATATGCCTATCCGAACGTTCAATCAGTCCCCGTTCCCCTATTGCCCATCCCATAAGAAATATTCCAAAAAAAAAACACTTCCTTTTCCTTGTCATAGCCTATGGAGCTTCCGAACTGGAACTCGACATATTAGCTATACTCCATAAAATCAATCGTTAGAACCCACTTGGGATCTCAGCAGCCACTGTACGATGATGGCTGTCCGATGAATGGCTATGTCCAAGCAACTTCATTTTCTTTCTTTGTTTCTTTCTTTCTTCCTCCTCCTTTCTTTATTCTTTCTCTTTCCTCCTTCCTTTCTCTTCTTTCCTTTTTCTTTCCTTCTTCTTCTTCTTCTCCGTTGTCGTCGTCGTCGTCTTTCTTCTTCTTCGACTTTCTTCTTCTTCCTCCTGCGGATCGTACTGGAGGGCGAAAGGAAATACATTAAACACAGTTTAACACACACACACACACACAATCATATTTATTTATAGCTTGTCTTCTTTTTCGCAGGCTGTCGATTTTGTACGCTCTTTGGTCAGTACCTGTTTGATTGGAGTGCCTCAAGCACTAGTAGGGGGCACTGGGTTTGGGATGCCTGTGTCTGTGTGTTCCCTGGGTGATGACAGACGTTTGTTGAAGTGATTTCCTGGGCCTGATAGTGGTACGAATCCGTAGTCTGCCGAGATCTACCTGTGGTATGAGCGGGTGCAACTCTGCTTTGGTCCATGGTGTATGAGTGGACTGCCTTGCAAGTGCTGCCTCGCCTCGCTGCTTTTTGTTTTGTTTGTGTGTTGTTGATTTGCTGCCTTGTTGCTCATTGTGCTCCCCTGCTGCTTGCCTTGTGGTTTGGCTGCCCACCCGCCTCTCGTGTGACCTCCAACCTGTTGATAGTCATCAGTGCCTTATTGTCCACTTACAACAGGTACATTCTTGAGCCACCGCTGATGGTAGTGGAGGCCACTCACTTCACACCATACCTTGGACGTCTGCCCCTGGCCATAGACAGCCTTCTTCCCGGAGACATCAGCAGTGACATTGGTATTTCGGGAGTCGGGCTCCCTTGCTAAGATCTGAAATTCATATGTTGTAGGCGTACAGGAGGAGGAGAGAGTGAGGTGGAGGAGAAATGATTGTTATTTGGTGGTGCCATACACTTCTTCTTCTTCTTCTTCTTCTTCTTCTTCTTCTTCTTCGCCTTCTTCTTCTTCTTCTCTTCTTCTTCTTTTCTTCTTCTTCTTCGCCTTCTTCTTCTTGGCCTTCTTCTTCTTGGCCTTCTTGGCCTTCTTCGCCTTCGCCTTCTTCGCCTTCTTCTTCTTCTTCTTCTTCTTCTTCTTCTTCGCCTTCGCCTTCTTCGCCTTCGCCTTCGCCTTCTTCTCCTTCTTCTTCTCCTTCTTCTTCGCCTTCTTCTTCGTCTTCGCCTTCTTTGCCGCCTTCTTCTTCGCCTTCACCTTCTTCTTCTTCTTCTTCTTCTTCTTCTTCTTCGCCTTCTTCGCTTACTTCTTCGCCTCCTTCGCTTACTTCTTCGCCTTCTTCGCTTACTTCTTCGCCTTCTTGGTCTTTGCCTTCTTCGCCTTCTTCGCCTTCTTCATCTTCTTCTTCGCCTTTTTCTTCGCCTTCTTCTTCGCCTTCTTCTTCGCCTTCTTTGTCTTCTTCTTCTTCTTCTTCGTGGTCGTCGCCTTCTTCTTCTTCTTCTTCTTCGTCGCCTTCTTCTTCGTCTTCTTCTTCTTCGCCTTCTTCTTCTTCTTCACCTTCTTCGCCTTCTTCTTCTTCTTCTTCTTCGCCTTCTTCGCCTTCTTTGCCTTCTTCTTCGCCTTCTACTTCACCTTCACCTTCGCCTTCGCCTTCTTCTTTTTCGCCTTCGCCTTTGCCTTCGCCTTCTGCCCCTTCTTCTTCGCCTTCTTCTTCCTCTTCACCTTCACCTTCTTTTTCTTCTTCTTCTTCTTCTTCTTCTTCGCTTTCTTCTTCGCCTTCGCCTTCGCCTTCTTCGTCTTCGCCTTCTTCGCCGCCTTCTTCGTCGCCTTCTTCGTCGCTTTCTTCTTCTTCTTCTTCTTCTTTGCCTTTGCCTTCGCCTTCGCCTTCGCCTTCGCCTTCGCCGCCTTCGCCGCCTTCTTCGCCTTCTTCTTCGCCGCCTTCTTCTTCGCCTTCTTCTTCGCCTTCTTCTTCGCCTTCTTCTTCTTCTTCTTCGTCACCTTCTTCTTCTTCTTCTTCTTCTTCTTCTTCTTCTTCTTCTTCTTCTTCTTCTTCTTCTTCTTCTTCGCCTTCGCCTTCTTCTTCGCCTTCTTCTCCTTCTTCGCCTTCTTCTTCTTCTTCTTCTTCGCCTTCTTCACTTTATTTTTCGCCTTCTTCGCTTTCTTCTTCTTCTTCTTCTTCTTCTTCGCCTTCTTCACTTTATTTTTCGCCTTCTTTGCCTTCTTCGCCTTCTTCTTCTTCGCCTTCTTCACCTTCTTCGCCTTCTTCTTCTTCTTCTTCACGTTCTTCGCCTTCTTCGCCTTCGCCTTCTTCGCTTTCTTCTTCTCCTTCTTCACTTTCTTCTTCGCCTTCTTCTTCGCCTTCTTCGCCTTCTTCTTCGCCTTCTTCGCCTTCTTCGCATTCTTCTTTGCCTTCTTCTTCTTCGCCTTCTTCGCCTTCTTCTTCTTCGCCTTCTTCTTCTTCGCCTTCTTCACCTTCTTCTTCTTTTTCACCTTCTTCTTCTTCTTCTATTTCTTCTTCTTCTTCTTTTTCTTCTTCTTCTTCACCTTCTTCGTCTTCTTCTTCTTCTTTTTTTTTTTCTTCTTCTTCTTCTTCACCTTCTTCACCTTCTTCTCCTTCTTCTTCTCCTTCTTCTCCTTCTTCTTCTTCTTTTTTTTTCTTCTTCTTCACTTTCTTCGCCTTCTTCTCCTTCTTCTTCTCCTTCTTCTTTTTTTTCTTCTTCTTCTTCTTCTTCGCCTTTTTCTTTTTCTTCTTCTTCTTCTTCTTCTTCTTCTTCTTATTCTTCTTCTTCTTCTTCTTCTTCTTTTTCTTGTTCCCCTCCTTCTTCTTCTTTTTCTTCTTCTTCTTCTTCTTCTTCTTCTTCTTCGCCTTCTTCGCCTTCTTCTTCGCCTTCCTCGCCTTCTTCTTTGCCTTCTTCGCCTTATTCGCCTTCTTCGCCTTCTTCTTCGCCTTCTTTTTCTTCTTCTTCGCCATTGCCTTCTTCTTCATCCTCTTCTTCGCCTTCTTCTTCTTGGCCTTCTTTTTGGCCTTCTTGTTCTTCTTCGCGTTCTTCTTTGCCTTCTTCACCTTCTCCTTCTCCTTCTTCTTCGCCTTCTTCTTCGCCTTCTTCGCCTTCTTCTTCGCCTTCTTCTTCTTCTTTGCCTTCTTCACCTTCTTCTTCGCCTTCTTCTTCGCCTTCTTCTTCGCCTTCTTCTTCACCTTCTTCTTCTTCTTCTTCTTCTTCTTCGCCTTCTTCTTCGCCTTCTCCTTCGCCTTCTTCTTCTTCGCCTTCTTCTTCGCCTTCTCTTTCTTCTTCTTCTTTGCCTTCTTTTTCTTCTTCTTCTTCTTTGCCTTCTTCTTCTTCTTCTTCTTCTTCGCCTTCTCTTTTTTCTTCTTCTTTGCCTTCTTCTTCTTCTTCTTCTTCTTCTTCTTCTTCTTTGCCTTCCTATTCTTCTTCTTCTTCTTCTTCTTCGCCTTCGCCTACTTTTTCTTTTTCTTTTTCTTCTTCTTCTTCGTTTCCCGGGCAAGGTTCGCCAGGGTGGTGGGGGGTCCTTGGGGATCTTTGATCTCCGAGATGTACCCCCACTTGTAGGGAAAAAAGCGAAGGTTCCTCGCATTGAGCTCTTGACCCTACCACGGCCCCTGTTTCTTCACCAATTTTTCAGACCCAGACCTCTTTGTTTTGTTGTGTGTTGTACTATAGGAGAGAGAATCGGCAATATGTTTTTTTCGATTTTTTTTGAATTTCCTTAAATCTTAATTTTAATTTTGTTATCTTAGGACTTGCTGAACCAAGATCTGTAGCCTGACCGTTCCTGTTTTCTTGACTGTAGCTTGGCCGTACCTGTTTTTGACTGTTGCTCGACGGTAGGTATTTCGTTTTTTTGGGCACACGACTGCCCCCTGCGTGACAGAAGTGTACGTAGCATACCGTACATGCCAGGCCTGTGCCTTTTGGGGCCCTCTTTAAACCAGGGAGCGCATGGCTGGGTTTAAGGCGTCGAAGGAAAAAAGAAAAAGAACAAGAGGAAAAAGTTCGATGGTCCGTACGGATCTGAATACTTGTTAATGCGTATATATCTCACGAGTTACCAGTACTCTTCCTTTTTCCAGGGTGCATCGGGCGTGAGGCGCTATTGATCTTTGCAGCACGCTCCCTTGCCTTCTGAAGATGTGTGTCATGGAACGAGATATCGCGAGAGGAACGATCGGCTGTGTATGTCGGAGATATGATGGATCGAGCAGGGATTTGTGGGGAGTAGAACGGACAGTGGAAAGCGGGGTAGGTGATTGTTTTTTGGCAATCTTGTGCTATAGGGTACGGAGGGGCTTGCCCCTCTGATCTTGCGGATGGAAGTAAAAGTGACAAAGATGAAAGGAAGAAAATGTTGTTTAACTGCTGGTACACCACTTATAAATAGAAAGAATATCCGTATTATGTTAATGTCAATTGAGTTAATGTTACTTGCTGTCAATTTGAACTTTTTAGTCTCACTTTGAGGAAAGTGCATATATCCAAAACATGGTTGTGGCTCATTCCCTTTGAGGAAACCTTGGGTTTGAAGTCTTTTGATGTACTTAGCGGTATCCGCAAAGACAGTCAAATTCTTACGCGCTTTCGCGCCTTCGTGGGATTCAGACGCGAAGCGTCTACTCTTCGAGCCGTAAGGTTGCCACCGCACACCTCGAAAGATGTTGTGGCAGGTTCCACTGCAACAGTTGCCCGTTCACCCGTCCAGTCTACTAAAGTGCCCACCAAACCGTGCAAGATGCCGTACATCACACGGGTGGGTCCTCCTGATGAGGCCTATGTACCCGCAGGTCAAAACGCGTCGAGGGATTGCGTACATATTGCGGTGTTCGATGGAAGTTAAGTAATACGCTTGCTTTGATCCTCCGTTTTTGAACAGTGTGTTGTACTGTTCTATGTGCCCTGAATTCTTCTTCTTCTTCTTCTTCTTCTCCTTCTTCTTCTTCTTCTTCTTCTTCTTTTTCTTCAATCTCCCTTCTTCCATTTCCCACCACCTTGTACTCCATCCGTGTATGATTTGAGGGGGAGGTCCGCCTGTCTTTGGACAGCGCGCTGGAGTGAGATCAGATCTGAGTCACATTGTCATTTTTTTGCACGGTCAGACCACATCCTATCTGATTTCAGGACATCCGTCGTTTCACATCGCATCTCTTCCTCATGTTGGTGTTCTTTGGACTTCGCGTTCCCCCAATCATCACCCGCGCATGCATTACTCTCCCATGATATCATGCTTCCTATTGATTGCCCCAGCTTTTGTCTCTCTCTGTTTATTCTTCTGTCATTCTATCTTTGTTACTATTCTGACTGAATCAACTTCTATCCCAGTTCCTGATATCCTTACACCAAATGCACCTCCTAGACCATCGGATTGAGCAGAAGAACCAAAGCAGATGTAGCCCGATAGAACTACTATAACACAAGGCTTTAATTTCACAATGACCCGGTCGCGTGCATGAGGAGGAGCCTCATGGCTTCAACATTGCCCTTCCACCACGTCCCCCTCAACACTGGCAATTACCCCAGAGTATGGATTGCTTCAGCCCATACTCGCAAGTGCACACCGTGTGGGTTATTCGCAAGTACGGTGTGCGAGCGCACTGGATCCCTGCACCGAACGGGGCAAATAGGCACCCAGAAAAGAAAGGGGTCGCAGCCCCTTAATTTTTTTTTGTAGGATGGAAAAAAAAAAGAAAGGACAGCTGCGAGAGTAATGTTGCCACCAGACGGTCAAGACTGATGTCCCAAAGACCTATTTGAGGCTATTTCCCATGCCAGATGGGACAAAAGGAAAACTTTGTACGACTGTACTCAGTGTAGTCCCCCGTACGTCATACGGGGGGTCCACGTACGGCCCGTCCATACGGACGGACGGACGGGCGTACGGCCGTACAATAGTGGTTTTGGGGCCAAAACAAATGCCAAAAAAACAAAAAAGGGGGTTGTAGAGCTCGATAAGATCTACAACCCCATATTTTTGCTTTTATTTTTTGGCCTTTAAATAGATTTTTCAAAAATCAAAAATAGAAAAAGACGAACAAAATAAATAAATAAATAAATAAATAAATAAAACCAAGAATCTGTTAGCGATTTTGTTTTTCTGGATGTGGGGTGTCCTGGTGCAGTGTGTGTGTGTGTGTGTATGTGTTGTCATATTCACTATATACTCAAATAAAGCATGACTATGCCAGACTGTTTCGTCGGAGTTTCATCGACTTCATGTGTGTGTGTGTGTGTGTGTGTGTGTGTGTGTGTGTGTGTGTGTGTGTGTGTTTGTGTGGGGGAGGCGTCAATCAATCAATCAATTGGAAAAAAAAAAAAAACAGCAGGCATCGCCGCACATAGGTGAGCGTGCGTGTGTTCGCAGGGGGGAGGCGACCTCCCTGTGACCAATCAATTAATGAATGATCAATCAATCAATTGAAGAAAAAAAAAGCGGGCATTTGCCGCGCTGGTGTGTGTGTGTGTGTGTGTGTGTGTGTGTGTGTGTGTGTGTGTGTGTGTGTGCGTGTGTGCATGCGGGGGAGATGCGACCCCCCCACACCCAACCAATCAATCAATCAATCAATCTTGATTTTGATTTTTTTTTTCTTTTTCTTTATTTTGTATTTCATGATCAATCAATCAATCAATCAATCAATCAATCAATCATTCGATCAACCAATCAATCAATCAAGTAATCAATCAATCTCTTTTTTTTTTTTTTAACACCCCCACCCCCCCCCAAAAAAAAATAAAAAATTTCCTTTTTTTTTCCAATGGGGGGGTACCCCCTGACACCCGCACCCCCCCAGCCCCTTGTCTCCCCCGAACACCCCCCGGAAGCCGTCGTAGGGACGGCCCAAAGTCCGTACCTATGGACCGTACGGGCGCTTAGGGCCCGTACGTATGGTCGTACGGGATTACGGACGGGCCATCCCCGTACGAGGTGACTACACTGACTGTACTTGAACAGCATCTGTTCCTTAGGTAGTACACTTCTCTATCTATGAAAACAGGGGGCTGGTGCGGTGCACGGGCAGGTGCTGCACAGTGCACAATGGACCACACCCCACAGCCGTGCGGGCCATGCGCTTGCAAGTATGCTTAGTCATTCTGTTTGAAAGTATTTTGTATCGTCTTCCTCACCCGTTTTCTCATTTAAACGTTTGTGTTTCTCCATTGTCTGCTGCCATTCCGCTAGAATGTTAGTTTGAATGAAGTCCATGATTTTCTCGTACAGCTCTGATACATCCTCTCATTCATGGAAGCACCTTATGGTCCATATCCCCCACAATACCACCTTTCTGGCCATACAGAATCAGTTGGCTGAAACCCCCTCCCCCAGTAGTTTAGAGACAATATGTCAATAATGTGGCTTTCGAGTCCAATGACCTAGGTTCTCCTGTCATCCATCTCCGAATTCTATCCTACTATCTCCATAGGAGTACTGCCCCGGGGCGGGAAGAAACAGGTGCTCCACTATTTCTCTGACTTTTCTGTGGGGGGAAGCCTGCTTGGCAGCACTTCGACAGGAGTAACGGAATAGCTTTCTGCTCCAGGTGCAAGTGGTCCTCCAAGTTCTTTGAAGTCCTTGGAGTTCTAACTACCGGTTCACCACCGAAGGTTGTAATCGCACTTGTGGTAGAATGGAAGAATAATTGGGAGCGAAGTAGCTTGCCATGGGTGGCATCATATCCACCTCCCCATTCAAGATCCTGTTGGATACCCTGATGTCACCCTTGTTCTTTGACATCACTCTCACTGAGTCTCACATATTGTTACATTTTAAGATTTTAGATATAACGTCATTTTTCCCGACGAGTTATAGAACTTCTTACATCGGATATCCCTTATATTCTGTTGTTGTTTCTCTCTCTCTCTCTCTCTCTCTCTCTCTCTCTCTCGTCAAACAGAATATATATATATATATATAATATCATCAAACAGAACTGCCGGGTAAACAATCGGCAGAGAGGGAGAAGAGGACAACAAACGAGGGGCTGTGACAAGCTGTTTCCTCGGAGTTCCACCAACTATATTCTGGTCGGTTTTCTCCTATTTTGTTTATTGCCACAGGGAAGCCCTGCTGCCCATGCAAGCGTAGCTACCTCTCACAATCAAGGGCCCGGGATGCATTTTGCTCCTCGCCCTAATCAGCGGTGGCCACGCAGTACGGTTGGGCCACCGGTGGGGGGGTGCCGAATCATGCAAAGATCTAGCATTTTGCTAGTAGCTGCACCTCTCATCTACTTACCCCACACCCATCTAGTGATAGCAGTGTCTAAGACCACCTCTCATCTACTTACCCCACACCCATCTAGTGATAGCAGTGTCTAAGACCAACACTCACACACCACACACACCACACACACCACCCACACCATCCACACCACCCACACCACCCACACCACCCACACCAATTACACTGCCCCCCTCCCACCACCACCAGATGCCCATGTGGCCT